TATCCCGTGAATATTGGTCGGGACATGTCCCTACCGTCCCTACCCAAACCTAAGCCCATGGTTTTAGGACATTTAGGCCCAAATGTTCAAAGTTGATTTTATTTGACCTTGCCCTACATCTTTGCTGTGCCCCTACCAGTGGCACCTGTGCATACATTGAGATTTTCATTTAAGTAAAAAAAAGGAAAAAATGGGTTTAGTCTCTGTAATTTTCCAGCCCAGAGAGCTGAAAAATAAGAGAGAGACCAGAGAGCCCTCTGGTCTCCCTTCCAGTCCAGAGGGCTGGAAAATAAGAGAGACTAAACCTCTAGTCGTTTAGTCTTTTGTGTCAAAACATGTTGTTTGCTGCCCACATCTGTGTGATGTAATTATGAGTTTTTCTTATCACAAACAGCATTTTTTTAGTTAGTAGGAAAATTATAACATATTTAGGCCAACGTGTTTGATGATAATAAGGCATCCCTTTAAGAGAGCTCCAAAAGGAAAATGGAAAACTGTACAGTTTGCTTACTACGCAGGAGGTCACTGAGTTTACTTTGATCCAATGTGGATAAAAATAAACTCAGAGCTGTGAGTGGAACTGGACATGCCAAACCCTAAAGGTTATTGGTCAGTTTATTTTTGTTTATTTGGCGGCTTGGCGCTTTTTCTGTAAGCTAAAAATGGATGAGCGTAGTTTTAACTCTCCCATAGATCTAAGATTGGTCGATTGAACCCCGCCTGAGCATTTTACCATATGTGCGGTTCTGGCGGGGTTGCACATTACGTGTGTATAGCCTATACACAAACCTAACCGTGTGGTGCGACAAGCTCATGATGCGCATTGGATTTGTGGCTGTACTCTTGGGGTCAGGTGCAGTGATAATTTCATGCTGCATAACCTGTGATAATATCTTGCAGGTGGCCCTGTCCCCTACCTGACCTCTGGCTTTGCAGTGTCATGGCTTTCTTTTAACGGCTTCTTCTTTCCCTTCAGGTTTTACCTGATGGCTGTTTCTGTGCTCAATAGTCTCCTGTTGATACATGACTGATCATGTCTTGGTATGTTTGCAGTTGTGCCATGCATTTCATGGTTCTCATTAATTTGCTATGTCTTGATTTAGTTTCATTTACATTTTATAATTATATGACACTATTCTGGTAAAAGTCGGTTCAAAATGTTTTGTAATCCTCAGAGAAAACCTAAATGATCCACTCTGCAATTATGTGTTAGTCTGGCGTCATTTGTTGAACTTGTGCTTAATCTCACATAACTGAAAATCACTGAGGCATTTATTCAACATCCTTTCCACATTTGAACTTTTATGTCATCACTTGCATGCCACATGACTCCAAACCAACAATAAAGTGCTTGTTCTTTTCAAACAAACGGAAAATATATATATATTTTTTTTCAGTTCGGGAAATTTCCAAATGGAATTATGGGGAAAGCCTGCACGTTTTATACAGGCGATGTCATTGACAATTCTACATCAGGAAATGCCTTAGTTCTTTCAAAAACAAATTACTTCAGTTTAGTGTTAATACAGTATTTAGCTCCAGCTGTATCCTTAGGGTCATTTTATCAATCTCGACTGACTGGCTGATTTAACGTTATTTTTGTACCATTGTCTTTCATGTTGTTTCTTTTCACAATGTCCTCCTTTGGAACTCTACCAGATCTTCTCAGTGAAGAAATTGTCAGCTGATGTAGGAATTCTTCACTTCATCATCATGATATAATCATTTCTTTACATTATGCCGTACTTCGAGAGGAAGTGCTCTCCTTTCTTGCAGAGAGCATCAATACTGTGTCTGTAGTTTAGTCTGCTGTTTATAAGAATTTATCCTCCTCCATTTCCTCTTTCTTGGAAATTATATTTGAGAATATTTCTGCATCTCCGGTCATGTCCTTCGTCTTGTTCACAGTCTGGTTGAGATGAGTGACTCACAAGCTTTCTGTGCTCACAGAAAGCACAAGTTTTCTGTGAGTTTGATATCGGACAGATGTCATGTCATGTCTGTCTGATAGACAGATAGCTGCCTGAGTTTTTTCAGACAGATGACAGCTGCGGTCATCTGTCTGATGGTCGGCAGACGATCATTTTATGATTTGTACCTGAATATTTCTATTAATTCGGTCCAACACATGTAACTCTAATTATTAACATCTTATTATTAACATCTCTTATTGGACATGTCAAAAAATTCTGCTACATAAACTCAACAACTCACACAAATCATGTCTATCTCACCTCTGTTTATGGCAGTGGTGCCCAAAGTGGTGTCCTGGAGGGCCGGGATCCTGCCTGTTTTAGTTCTCCGCCTGGTTTAACGCACCTGGATCCAATGATGGCTCATTAGAGGCCTAAGAAGAACCTTGACGTGCTGAAAAGGTTGTAACTACCAGCAGGGAGAGAACTAAAATTTGCAAGATGCCGGCCCTCGAGGACCCACTTTGGGCACCACTGGTTTATGGTTCTGAAGTCAAAAGTGATGTTGTCCAATCGGCGGTGTCTTGGGATTCCCACTGAGCCTTACTACTTTCGTTTTAATGTCATGTTTTCTTAATTTGTAGCTGTTCTTAGTTAATATCACTGTGTGTTTTTGCATATGTTCTTGTGTTCTTCAGTTTGCAGTTGTATTTGGTGGTTTGTTGAAGTGGTTTGCACTTCAGGGCTACCATAGAGAAGCAGAGAGATCTGTGTTTAACACCAACAAAAGAGCGTGTGTACTTTCATGGCTTGTCAAGAGACTTAAAGAAGTAAACAGAGGTGTATGAGTAAGCCTTTCCTGTGTTGTTTTTTTAGATTTAAAGGATTAGGTTGAAAAGCCTGGTTACAGCGGTTTGAAAAAACACAGAGACACTTGTGTCAGCCAGCTTCTCTAAAAACTGCAAACACTGGAACTCTGGAGAAAATGAATGGCTTCTTATCAGTCTCTCGTTTCCGGCCGGGTAAAAGTCCACACAACCGTGTTGCGATGGCAGAATTCTGTGATGTAAATAAATGAGGTTCCAAACAAAAAAAAAATCTATTTTGTCAGCCCCTCAGCTTTAAACGAAGTGATCTGTGTATTCCGTTAATTGTTGTCTTTCTCTTTTTCGAAGTTGCAGCTTCCTGAATCTGCTAGAGCCCAGCGTCGTTGTGCAGGAGGCTCCACTTCTTCTGCTCCTGGGTCTGACTCTGTGTTGTACAGCTGTGCACTGCACACACTTCATTAAACTACACTGAGGATCAACGGGTGTGTAATATTTTGCAAGAACTGTAGAAATGATATAAGCCGTCCCACAATACATTAAATATTTTAGGGTGTCAAGCCACACAAAACCTCGACTTGATCATAAATTATTATATTAAGAACCAACCCAGTCAGCTGTGAATGCTCGAAATCTTTATTTGAAAGAAACCAGTCAATATAAGCATACAGTATATTGATAAAAAATATATATATTGTGAATAATCATTGAGTATATTTTTTATTCAGAAAAATATACTCATTCAAATACACGCAGCAATAAGGAAAGGTTCAGAGTCACCATGTTTTCCATAACTACTGCATGTGTTACAGTACAGAATTCACATTTATATGAACAGCTCAAAACTTAAATTGTTACAAATAAACATGTCACAAAAAGCTGTTTTTTTGTTTTGTTTTGTTTTTTGACAACCGACGCGTTAACAATACAGGATTACAATGTTTACATTCATGTCCCTGAAATGGTTAGATGTTCAGTTTTAGCTCAGTCATCAAGTTGGGGTTAATCAAAATCCTTTATATACAAAAGTATTTGTTTTGGAACAAGAAAAGTCTGTAAATATAAAAAAAAAATAAAAGTAGCATATTAGTGTATATGTATATATATTATTAAAAGCCACATTATACGACATCTTTTAAGCTTATATATAAACAGTCTAGCTGTTGTCATAAAAAAATATTTCCCTGGGCAAAAATCTGCAGGAAGTAAACTCCAGCAGCCTATGTAGACCCTGATAGGACAAGGGACCTCCCCCCTAAGGCAAGCAGAAAATATGCTGTGAAGTGGAATGGTGGGATAGCTTTTTTTCACTGATTGAGCTTCACTTTTACCACTGTAGAGAGCTACATTGTAAAGATATATTTTCTCTTTAAGAACCCTTTCTGACACTCCTGCCTTTTTTGGAGAATCAAATGCAGAGTTCCTCTAGTATTCACTTCTGGCTAGTCTGAAAGAGCTCAGACGAGCGGCTGCTCTGTCACGCGGAGGCTCAGAAGCTTAAAGACTGAGCTTTGTTGTCGAGGACGGCGCTCGGTTCGTGACGTAAAGCTGAAAAAAGTCGATTTTTACATAATACTTCCCCCCTTTAAGAGAAACATGGTGTGCAGATGAGAATACATTTCTACATATTTAGTGGCAGTAATTTTGGTTTAAAATAAATCGCATCAGAATTTTGATGTAGTAAAGACAGAGAAACTTTCTAGCTTACATGCTATAATGTGTATAGTAGTTAAGTAGTTGTATGTGTAGTATAAATGCAACAACAAATGTTATTGCTAGAGTAAAAAGCTATTTAAATCCTAAAGATTGTAAGTATAGACTGTATTTGCTCAGGGTTTTTTTTTATTTTTATTTTAACCCATGAATAAATTTCCTGTGCTAATGCTTGCTTATGACCAAGTCTGTTTACACCACTCAAAGAGTCGACTCTTCGTGGCAAAAGGTAAAGGCAGTGAAGTTATAGGGAGTAAATGTTGCTTTTTAGTTATTTTACATTTTAAAGTGCCTCAAATTGGATAAAAACTCATTAAATATTGACAAGTCAGGTCAAAAATTAAATAACTTAAGTTATTCATTTGTACAACTGAGCTCAGATATTCTCTTTAAAAGATGAATCTGTTTAACATTGATGATTTAATTCCCAACAAAGAGTTTTTATTAGCGCTAGGTAGAATTATTATTGGTTCATTTTGTTTATACACAATCGTTTCCCGAGTCCCAGCCCAAAAAAAGCAACAAAAACACCCCTGAAGTTGCTAATACGACTGGGAAAGCCGGAGCTTATTGCAGAGCCGTTTCAGTTTTCCATAAGCACTTCTAACACTGTGTGACTGGTTAAACAGCAGCACCAATAGTGCTATAAATACTTATTTGTAAACATATTCTTGTCTTTAAATATAGTTATGTGATTGTATTCCTGATAGCAGTTAGCACCAAAACACATAACAAACCCCACTGCATTCCGACTTGCAAAAACAGCACCGTCAACCCACTCCCAGCTCCGAACGAGAAGAATCACAGACCGTCGTAAAGATCCAGCTGGCATTGTAAAGCTGTTCACATGGATCAGAGACAAAAACAGTCATTTGTGCATATAAGCTATCGCCCTCTACTGCAATCCTGAGACAAAAGTGTTGAGCAAAGTTTAAAGCCATGATGCAGAGTTGGTTCTTTAAACGTGGAAAGACAGACTGGTTCTTAGCTAAGTTGTGATCACACTGGTTTAGCACTGCAAAAACGAGATGGAGCACAGTAGCAATAAGCATGTAGGACCAGCCACTGGCAACCTACTGAGAACACATGAACAAAGTGGACTGGAGAACTGAAATCGTGGTAAGTCAGTCAAAAAGTCATTAAATAAGTGCATATTGTTTAACCAGCTTAGTTTCTGAAACGTATAGAATAGGTTGTTCTCACGACGGCGGGATGTTGAAGTGCGGCAGCAGCCTTTTATTTTTTCTTCACTCATTTTTAGGCCACTGCTGTTCAGAGTTGTGACATCCAGAATAGCCGATAAAATTAATTGGGATATACACAAGACTTTGCTTTTACAACTGGTGATTAAAAGCAAAGATCTTCCTATTACTTGCTTGAATATTCTTTTTTAGACTGCAAAACAAAAAAAAACATTACCTAAATTCCAATATAAAAATGCAGAAACTAATCAGGTTAAAACAATACAGCATTTCAAAGCAAATTAAATTACCATCATATTTTTGAGGGGACTCAGTTTTCCATTCTTGCAAGACCAGAGGGTAGGGTTGAAATGATGGAGACCGCAGCATTGAAAATGATTCTTCTTATTGTACACCTCTTTTTCATTCCCGGCCTTACATTCCTCCTTGTGGGTGGATGGAGCATTTTCATGAAAGAAAAAACAAAAGCAGAAATATAAAGTTAAATTGATTACTGCAACGGTGTCTTCAAAGCTCTCCATAAAAAGTCAGACAGCTGCAGCTGCTGCTAGCGTTCTCACTACAACCAGGAAGATGGAGCACAACTCCGACTCCGTCTGTGCCACAGGATAGACTTCAAAATAGTGTTAGTTTGTAAATTGTCTGGTTCTATGCTAAATAATGTCTAAAATGTCTAAAACTCAATAGCATTTGTATTTTTTTACAACTACCTCACTGATATAAGTCTGGTCCTATCTTCTTGGATTGTGCCTCCTACATGTTTGGTTTTTCTGAAGACATTTTCATTTGCCTCAGCAGTCAAACAGCACACTTATTGAGCTGAGTGGAGACTCTTAAGCTTGCTCAGGTTTAGTGTCTTTCTCACGCATCTTATAAAAGCGGACATTTCCCTGCTCCTCTTTGGAAATGTTGACAAAATCACTTAAAGGACATTATGAATGAACAGCAGTCAGTCAGGAAATGGGAATGTGGTTTGAAAAAGCTGAATCTCTACTTTAGCTTTTACTGGATCTACAAACATAAAGGGTAACGAAATTTCAGTGTCAGAATAATCAACTTAAACTTTACCTTGTCTGATTTGATGGTCTCATTGTCATGGTTGCCAGCACTGCAGTTATTGGTGGAGGTGGGGAAAAAAAGAAATCAATTAGTATAAAATGGAAAAAGAACTAAGAATACCACAAAACCAAATTGGAAAATGTATTTTTATTTAGAAATGTGTGGCAGTCTGTTAGGAAAGTAGATAAAAATAATTGTATTTGCTGACAAATATATCTGAAATAACGCATTGTGGAATAGTTATTGATTTGATGCATATTAAAAATGTATCGAAACTGTTTTGGTTAATTTAATGACTAATGCTTCATCAGCTGTAAAAAATAGTCCTTATTAAAAAAAAAACAAAAACAAAGGGCAGAGTGAACAAAAATGCATGTAGGATGGACAAAACAGAAATGTAAAAAAATTAAAGTAAAATACGAACATAAACAAATGTGAATGTTGTGCATTAGCGTTTGGTGCATTTACTACACAAGCTGACAAAACGTAGTTATTACGTACCTCCGAAGCTCTACAGGAGCAGGATCTATGTCATCACATGTGAAGTTCTTCACTGTAAAAGTAAACATAAGTAAATTTGCAAATATTTAATATAATTTACATTTTCAGTGTCGGCCTATTAAAAATTATACCAACATACACTGTCCTCCACGGCACTAATTGCCCACCGTTGTGGAGCAATATCTTTTTTTTTTATTTTTTATTGTTGCATCTCTGCATGTTTGGCTTTTCTGAAGACATTTTGACTGGCAGCAGTCAAAACAGTATACTTATTGAGCTGAGTGGATACTCTTTTAAGTTTGCTCAGGTTTAGCTTTTTGTATGGAAGAAAATTCAAATAACTTTTAAATAGAATAAAACTAATTCCAAATAATTTTCACTTTGAGGTCTGAGTGCATTTGCCATCTATTTTAATGGAGCCAAAGCAGTTTCACTTTTAAGAATGGGGAAAAAAATTAAAAATAAAGAGGATGAATACTTTCAGTTTCGAAAAATTGAGATTCTGACTTACAGTAATCAATTTTAAAAATGCTATTTTTTTAACTGCCACATATTATGCCTGTATTTAATGTGATTTTATTTATTAATCTGTTATTTGTGTTAGTTAATTTACGTGAATTTTGCTGTGATCTTAAGTCAATACTAAATGGGAACTGAAAAATGTCATGTCTTGTTCCTCTTGTTCCAATTAGATATACTTACCTACTATCAATATATATATTTTTTTAAATCAAGAAGAATAATCTTTTTTGCAAATTTGTACAAAAAATTGGAAACAGGGCCTGGTCACTTACCACAGACTTTGGAATTATTGATTTTCATCTGTATCTTCTGGCACATATTCTGGCAACAATTCTCAATTGAAGAGTCGTACAGTTTCCCATAGCAACACTTATGGTCAGGAGAAAGCTTATCCAGCAGCTTTCCAGAACAGCAGATTTTCTTGCTTTTATCATAAGGCCCTGTTGAAAAGATCAATATGTGAAATACTTAAATGGTAAATGACCTGCATCTGTATAGACCAGAGGGCTACAAAACGTTTCACACTACATTCAATCATTCACCCATCCATGCAGCTACTGGATGGTAGCCACAGCTGCCCTGGGGCATACTGACAAAGGCCATGTATTGTAGTCACCATTCCCAGGCAAAGTGGGTGAAGTGTTTTACCCAAGGACACAAGGAGACGGCGTTCAAACTGGCAACCCACCAATCACAGGACGAACTCCTACCACCACCGCCCCAACGATTTTACCCAGTTCATCTACAAAACCTCTATGTAGAGGCATGTACTTATGGCCAAATGGAATGTTGTCTGAGCGTGAAAAGCTTTGCAATACCTCTAACTTTACGACTTACCTTCTCCACAGCATTCGGGATCATGTGAAGATTTGGGTTTCACTTCTTTTTTACAGCATAAATCATGAAGTGGGTTGTACGCCTCCTCTCCACAGCATTTGGCATCATGTGAAGGTTTGGGTGTCACTTTTAGCCCACAGCATATTTCATTAAGTGGGTTGTACGCCATCTCTCCACAGCATTGAGACATCCTTTCACTCAGTCCTACTGTCAGATTACCTGAAACACCAAAGGTTCAATGAAAATGTCGTCACATGATGACAAAAGACTGTTTTGAGGAGAAATAAACTGTCCTAAAGAATCCTCCTTTGATATTTAGTCTATCTTTGCTCTACAATTTCTCCTTTTGAAAGTGTATAACTTGTCTTTATAATTGGACTGAAACGCCTATATTTATATATTACAACACATTGCAAAAACCTCACATTCCTATCCCAAAGTTTTCCAGAAACACTTCCCACCTCAATTCACCTCGCAATGCATTAATGACAGTATTAATAAACTGAAATGATTGGACTGAAATTTATGCTAAAATGTTTTTAATACAAATTGAAAACTGTCTTAAAAACAAGCCTTGTTAAATTATTTGTATCCCTTGAATCTTCCCTCTCTGTCACATTACAACCAGAAACTTCCGTGCATTTCACTGAAACCTCATGTGATTGTCCAACAAAGTAATGAATTAAGTTTTAACTTAAGATAAAAAAGGGACATAGTTCCAAAGAAGTGGGGGCGGGGGAAGGAATGGTTTTCAAAATCTGTCAAAAATGGGGACATGAGGGCAAGGAAAAGAAGCAGGTCCCTTTTTATCTGAAGTTAAAACTTCATTTTTGAGGGAACCGTGTAAAATATCTGCACCAGGTCATTGTGGTTATGCTGCAGACTCATGTTTCCTCTTCATGCTTTTGGAGCAAATTAGGAAAACTAAAGGTGTGTCAGTGCTAATTGAGCTTATATCGAGATTTTTTTTGTGGTTTAGCATCATTGGGAACTGGAAAGATTTAACTGCAGAGCTCTCATGTTTCATACTTTTCTGGTCTTACATGAAGTCATTACCTGTGCTGTTTCCATCGGTTTTACAGCAAGTGTCTCTTTGAGGGTTATAAGGTTTCCCTTCACAGCAGAGATGTAAGTGAGACTTACATCCCATAGTTGCTGATCTGCAAAGCAAGAATAAGAGTAACAAATGTTACAACTGATTGTTTCGTAGCCAATGTTATGGACATTCCGATAAAAATGGTCAAGTTGGTGAAAAATGTATGATTTCAGTCGGTGTTTTAAACAATAGGCTCTTGAATAAAAACAGTTTGGCACGATTAGCATTGAAGGTAACAATGAAAGGTCACTTCTCGTTCCAACACAAAGAGCACCTGCTCTCTGCAATAGCTAGGAATAAACAATTATGGAAATCATTCATTAAAATGTGTTTCATACAACTGTAAAGACAAAAGTAAATAACATTTATGATTTTATTAGTCTTCTAGTAAAGCAACATTTAGTATACTGAGGCAGGCGGTGATACCAGGAGCTATATGTTATGATCCAATGACGTCCCAATTATCGAGATGGCTGTAAAAATAACCTGAAGATATAATTCTGTGGACTGTTCCCAGAAAACCATTTATCCGCCTGTTAACATAGCTGCCGTCATCAGTTTTTCTCAGATTATCTCTCTCATATACTATCACATTATAGTGATAGATCTGTTGATGGCTTTATCAACGATTTATTTTATAAAAGTCACGCACTGCTCCTTTAAGAGGGATTTGGAAAATCAGGGATATTCCACATGTTGGGTTGTGTTGTTTTGCCCCGAGGACAAACAGAAACTAAACTTGTTGAATGTGGTTTGTAGCCACTCAGAAAGTGAGGTGACATAAGTACAAACAGGAAGTCTAAATAAGGATGACAAAACGGCTGCCAAGACGAACCAGAAAGTCTGGAGGACGTCAGAGCCGGGTTTTTTTTATTACTTTTTTCCTGTGTTAAATACAGTTCACTAACTACCATCATTGTTCTCACCCACGCTGCCATGTTTGTTGACTCTGAACTCCTGTTTGGTACAGAGGTTTTGCATTCTCCCTCAGTTGTGCACTATTCACCCCTGATTAGTCCCTCTGGACCGAATGGCACTCTGCAGTCCTTCCTCAGTGAATACAGCTCGCTTTCTTCATTGTTCTCCAGTGGCTTCTTCCATTACACTTCATGGTTACTTAATTATTGACTTAGTTCTTCCTCATTTTTCTTCCCAATGGATGTTTTGTTACCTCGAGGGGCATTGGAAGATGTCTTTGGTTTCAGTATTTAAAACAATCTGAACTAAATGGCACCAGTTGTACTACAGGGTTCTACCAATTGCACAGAATAAATAAACATAATAAATAATTTGAATGACATAACATGTCTGCCCCATGTTGGAGGGCAGAAGCTCAAAAACTCAAAAACTGCCGCCTTTGAGGAGCTTCATCCTCGGCGCAAGCGTTTTGCACAGCTGAACGGTTGCCACGGGAGATTAAAGGATTTCTCAGGCATGATGAAAGAATCAAAGCGACACTCCAGGCATGTTTTTGATGAGGGAATAACAGTATTACATGATGTAAGACTCAAAAACTCCGACTTCACTTAACACTGCCCCTCTAAGCCTGCTCATTGGGGCACCGCTGAGAAAGTTACTATGTAAAAAATTAACAACATTAGGGTTTATTTAACCTGTCATAGAGGGGGAAAAATGATGTTCATTTTTCAAGTCATATTTTCACCATTTTATTTGTACATTTATAAACGTCACCTTACCAAACCATGTTTTTCCCTCCCCATCCATTTTCTGAACACCCTTGTCCCTCAGTGGGGTCAGGAGGGGTGCTGGTGCCTATCTCCAGCTAACGTTCCGGGCGAGAGGCGGGGTACACCCTGGACAGGTCGCCAGTCTGTCGCAGGGCAACACAGAGACACACAACCATGCGCACACACACACACACCTAGGGGCAATTTAGACAGACCAATTAACCTAACAGTCATGTTTTTTTTGGACTGTGGGAGGAAACCGGAGTACCCGGAGAAAACCCACGCATGCACAGGGAGAACATGCAAACTCCATGCAGAAAGACCGGGGCCGGGAATCGAACCCAGAACCTTCTTGCTGCACGGCAACAGCTCTACCAACTGCGCCACTGTGCAGCCCTCCCAACCGGCTAAATAAACCAAAATATTGTTGTTACTGTTTCACTGCACTCTCTTTCACGCACACACCCACACACGTTCGCGTTCTCGCATTCCGAGACATTTTTTTTTTAACTGCGCTTCCTGCTTTTGGATGGATGCCTGATCACTCTAACTGTTTTGGCAACAGAACCAGGCTGACGGCTGTGAACAGGACTCCCGTTCTGGACTTCTGGAGGATGTCATGGCAGCTGAACTTGGTTCTGTACCGATTCGGTAATCGGGAGGAATGCAGACAAAGCGCACCTCACAGACTGTGACTCAAAGAAATCATCTCCATTTTTTTTTCGGACTATCACAAGTTTTTTTTTTTTTTTTTTTTTTTTTTTTTTTTTT